GGCGGAGCCTTTACAGCTCAACAACAAACAAAACATCTGTTTGTTTTTGATTATCATCTCTATTGTGAAAATGTAAATTGTGAGACAAACTCAGAATTGCAAAACATAAATTCAGAATTCTGACTTTCTTTCTTGCAATTTCGAGTTTTCATCTCGCAATTGTTTTTTTCCTCCACAAAATAAAAAATAAAAAAGTATACTGCAACTTTTTATTTAAAATTCTTTTTGATAAGTTTTCTGCTCAGATTTACAATTCTGTTTATATCTCGCAATTTTGAATTTGTCTCGCAATTCTGACTTTATATATTAAAAAAGTCAGAATTGTGAAATAAAAAGCCGCAAATACTTTTTTTTGTTTTAATTCGTTTTTTTTAATCCCATGGTGGAAACCAGCTTCCAGACAATGCTCCTTCGGTCACTGTATGCATTCACCAAAATGTTCTTCAAAATCACTACTTTTGTGTTTGAAACGATGACAATTTTCATATTCTTTTGGCACTTGGATGCTAAAGCAAAACTGTCCCTCACGGTAATAAAAGACAGGACATGAAGGACGAGAGAAAGGAAACAAAAACATCACATAGTTAAGGGGTGCAGCTTGGAGCACCATCGTTAGGGTAAACAAACATGACAGCAGGGAGAACAACTTGCACTGGGTCAACGCACAGGGTCATGAAACAGCCAAATGAGTTTCTCCAGCTGCCTTTCAAGCTTACACAATGGTGCCCTCTGATTGGCTCCCATCACGACGCATACAATTATGGTAAGTAAACAGAGGCAATGCAGTGCAGGTAAATGGAGTCCGAACTGGAAGAACTGCAACAAAGGGTCCTACCATCCATCTTTTTAATGTCACGTCCATGACAGCTGCCTCGCGCGACGAAATGCAGATGCCGTTGGCGAGCCAAACGAGCAGGGTGGTTTTCATCCTCAATAACCTCTGCCATCAGTCGCAGTCAAAACACTGTGTGTCACAGCTGCCAGCGGGACGACAGGCAGAGGGGAAAAGCACTGCCACTGTCATACTAACTGCATTCACATGAGAAATGGCAAAATTAAGTGGAAAGGACCAGAACAGGTGACTGACAGTGCTGGGTGCAAATTGGACTCAACAGAGAAACAACCAGTGAGGGCCACCCTGTAAGTACACCATGCAGGTTGACTTCCTGAGGAGTGTAAACACTGTTCAGTTTACACAACATCCTGTGAAAAACACGCCTCTACCTATTTTTTTGTAAGACTCCAAAAATGTGCCTATATATACAATTCACTGCAGTTTACAGTTGAAATATTCACTAGTGGCCCCAACAACTTCTATTCCTTTCCAAATGAATTATGATTACAGGGGTAGATTATTGATTAATAAAGACTTATTTTTGCACAGTTCCTTGCACAATACTACGTTATGATCTCTTCTTTTTCTTTCTTTTATTTATTGAGCACTTTCACACAACCGACCATTGACCAAAGTGCTGTACAATATGTAAACACATAATAAAAGTCTCAAACATAAAACACAACACTAAAACCACAATAAAATAACAGTGAAATAAACTCCACAATTTCAATAGAAATGTCTATACCCCATTAAATGCACTTCCTAATGCAAGGAAGTATTCCTTAAGCTTGTGTTTAAAAACTCTTAGTGTGGGAGCTGATCTGAGAGAAAACGGTAATTCATTCCAGAGTATCGGAGCTATCACTACAAAAGCTCGATCAAATCTCGAATCATCAAAGCCAGCTGGTCAGCTGACCTCATTCATATCATATCATGATCTGAAAACACTTTTACCGTAGTTCAGGATTTGTAAGTTATTACATTTCAATGTTTAGATCACATAATCAGCTGCATATCTGTATGGCTTTTCTGACATGGTAAACTTGCTCTGTAGCGCACCCGGTATAGCATTGGACTTGTGGAGCACTCAGGTAAGAGACCCCTGAAACACAAGTCGATAAAAGAGCTCAAAGACATATAGAAGCAAGCTAAAATGGCACAGATGCTTCAGCAAATGCATTCTCCTCACACATTTGCTTTTGTTAGTTCTGTTTTGCATAAAACGTGTGTGTGTGTGTGTGTTAGAGAGAGAGAGAGAGAGAGAGAGAGAGAGAAAGAGAAAGAGAGTGGTTTGCAGACCATTTCCATTTTTTTCCATTTTTTTTATATTTTAAATATATTTTGACAAAATTACTTCACTGCTTTTTCATCTTAGAAAACAAATTAAATTACCTTAAGAGTAGAGACGCACCAATTGCAATTTTCTTGGCCGATTCCGATTTGCGATTTTTTGTTAGTGTGATCTGCCGATACCGATTTTTGCCGATTCCGATTTTCTTTCTAAGAACTATAATTGACAGCATATACAAACAAAAATCTACTTTTCTTCAACGCAAAGTTTTATTTTCATAAAAAAACACAAGTAAAAAATGGGTCGTCGGAGACAAGAGAGCGAGAATGCGCGGCTGACGTTATTGCCTGTGCCGCTGGTAACAAAACGGATCGGCTCGAAATCGGAAAGAAGTGAGACTGACCGATTGACCTGTATCAGCCGATCACCGATCCGGTCCGATCATGAGGAAAATCGGCCGATTCCGATCCCTGGCTGATCGATCGGTGCATCTCTACTTAAGAGTAATGGTAAATGTTGTGTTTATAGTGTAACAGAAAAGATACACTTTATCTTTATACATCTCAACCAAGAAAAGTGGAACACACAGGGGTTTGAACAAAAAGATAATAGCACACAAATGATGAGTCGCAAATATGCACTCACCAACCCTCTCTTGAACACACAATTATGCCTGTCATCGTGACCTTTGATTGGTGCTCTTAGTTGTTGTCATGGCAATACACCTCACACTTCTTCGGAGGAGGAATAATTCACTCTTCTCTTTGTGTTTTACACACATCTGTGTTGTGTGAAAGAGAGATGGCGTAGTTAATCTACAATATGATCATTCAAGCAAACAAGTTGCAAATCCCTGAACCAGCTCTTATTAGTTTCACATTCCCCTCTGTTCTTGCTCATTTGTCTTTTCCGCAGTATTTTCTCCTCCTAACAGTGCAAATACATTAAGAAACAGGAGGCAGGAATATTCAAGTAATAAATTCTCAGGGGAACAGTGGCAGTCCAATTACCAGTCAGCAGGTCTAGTCTAGAGGGAGGAGACATGGTGAGAGAGAAATTAGCTTTGGCACGACTCACTGCTCATCGAGCAGAATTCAGAGCTGATCTCGTTCCGTTTCCAGAATTTGCTTGTGTTTGTCTATGTTTGCTGGGCAAAAGGTGACAGTCAGCCTGGTGCATTGGCACAAAGCGCTCATTTGTCTTTTTCAGAGGTGCTCTGTGTGAGGGCAAAGCACACTGTACTGCTTTGCAAGTGCATACACTTACAAACACATAATCTGACTTTACGACTCTCCGTTTTTGTTTTTGTTTAAAGAATAATGTACTCTCAATTTGGTGTGTCAGCAATCCTTTCATTCTTTCTATTTTAGTCACTGAACTATTCATATGTCTGTTGGGCTGTTTAAAAAAAGTAGTCTCAACTGGTTGACTCATTTCTCCCATTATACAGTATCCCACGCAGCCCATATTTTAATATGCAGAATTAATTTCACCATATTCAAATAGAAAACATCTGCAACAATAGGAATGCAATAAATACAGTGGTGGGCCGTCAGGGCCAGCAAAGCCTTCTCTGCTGGCCTAAACACTATCAGAATCACTGATTTAGTTTAATATATTTTTCCATGAAAGTGTATTAAATTATTTCCAATAGTCTATTCTCTTCAGTTCATAGCTTTTCTCTTGGTTGCACTGCTTCCAGCAGTGCATGTTTATATTAGAGCTTTTATCCAATCATATTTCAGCAATCGTGTTGCCAGGGTCAAAGAAATCTGCCTTAAGGCCTTCAGAATAATATGACAGTAAAGTATGATATTGTCATTAATATTTTTAATAAATTAATTTATGCAAATGCCATGGAGAGTATACAAGAATATCATAAACTTGGTTGTGGGTTTTTATGACTTTTATGAGTCAGTAAGTAGTGACCTAGTAACCACCCCATAACAAACTAGTAACACTCTACCTGTCACCCTAAACACCTTAGCAAATCACCAAGCAATGCTCTATAAACCATCCAAAAAACTATGGCAACCACCCAGAATACCCTGGCA